AGCAATGGTTGGGGCTGGGGATTTAGCTCAGCGGCAAAAGCGCCTGCCTGGCAAGCGCAAGGTCGTGAGTTCGGTTCCTGGTACCGGAGAAAAACCAAAAAAAAAAAAAAAACAGCAATGGTTAAGACACTGCAATCATGTGGGCTTGCCCAAGGTGAGCACAGACGAGGTCTCTGACTCCCTCCAGTACTGCCAGGGGCTTCTGAGAGATACAGAGTCACACACAGCACACAACATGTGGCAAGGTGTCACCCAGAGAAGGCAAGATGACATAGGCCTAAGAGAAGGAAGGGGTGGAGAAGAGTCACATGATAGTCACATGACAGTGTAGCTTAAGGCCCAGGATCATCCTAAGAAAGACAGGAGAATAGGGGTGGAGGCAATGACAGAAAAGAGTATCTGGCTCAGCAAAGTGGTACTAGTTCCCCCTTGGTCCATCAACTTTGTGGTTCACAAAGAAGTGCTGTTGAGTAAAATCTTCAGTTTGCTGGATTAGTATCTCTAGCAACATAAAAATCAGGGTGGAAGTAAAATAATATAGATTAAATAATAACAAAAGTACATCTGTGATCATGTCTGTATCCTAAAAGTAAATAATACCTCAATAATTCAGATTTTCAGGTGGAAAGGCAGTTTGGAATGTTATTAAGGAGTCTCAATTCCACACCACTCTGCAAAATGTGAAATAGCAAATAGGGAGGTAAGGCTGGCTGGCAGTGCCCATGGGAGAGTGCGTTAATGGGCATGAGGTGCCTGGTACCTTTCAGGATAAGCAGCAAGGGCAGGTCAGGAGCCTGAGGAGGAGGTGCTGTTGGGTGAGTTCCGCTTCCCTGCTGTCTAAGGTAGACCTGTGCTTTCTCACACTGTGAGGAAGAAATCTACTGAACTACAAATCTACTCATTGTGCAAAACCAGCAATGGGATCCCGCCTGGACTTGCAGTATGCACAGAAGAAGGTGCACAGCCCTGCCCCAGGCATCCTCTGTTTTTAATGCACTTAATTTGCCCTTCTCTAGGGAGGCCTGTGTCTCTTGGTTCCCAGGAATGATGTTCAAGTGTCTGAATTCACTTGCACTCCTCACCCAGCACTCCTGATGTTTTTTAAAATATTGTTTGATCATGGTCTTCTCAGTCATGTTTATGTCTGCCCATGTAGTCTTTGGGCTTGGTTATAAAGTGTGATTGGCCTTTGCAAAATATCTTTCTTTAGTGGCTTTAGTTTCAAAGTATGCATGTGGCCATAGCTTTGGGCCGCAGTGGGCTGCTTTTGTGCTCGTTACAGATTGACTGTGCTCAGATGGACGGGTGGGAGTCGGGGCCATACCCAGGTCACCGGCTGCACCTGCTCCTCTGTGAGGCACACTCCAAGCTGTGTGTAGAAGCGACAACCCCATGTGGACAGCAGTGCCCTAGCACAGAGGCAGGTTGTCTCCCCAGCCTTGATCTCTGCTGTGAGCCCACTGTCACCTCTTCCGAAGCAGATGTCACTCTGTACCCGCAGCCTCTGGCTGCACAGCAAAGTGGAGCCCTCAAGTCACTCAACACAGAGACAGTCGGGCAGCTGGTAAAAGCCAGAGGTAGACATACTGAGATGGTTAGGGTGATAGGAGAATTGCATCTCTCACAGCAGCTGGTGAGTCTCAGCAGACAGAATTCAGAGTTAAAAACAGATAATAGACGGCTGAGTCTGTTTAAATATACAAAGGCAAAAAGTAGGCGAAGAAAAGCATTAAAATAGTGATCCAGAATTAGGTGACAGGAAAGATCGGAGATGGGTAGGAAGAAGGAGATGATGCTGATTTCATTGTCCTTCACAACAAAGAACCGTGAGATGCTATCAGAGGGAGTCAAGAGCTAGAAGAACCAAGGACCAAAAGATCAGGAGAGAAAACTCACAACCAGCCGAGCACATGGCAACCAAATCTGCTAGGAGGAAAAGCAACATGCGGGACAGGATGCCTGATCCGCTGCAGAATGCACAGAGGAATGAGGATGTCTCCAGGTGCAGGGGTCACAACTCTGACTCAGTACTCAGGAGGCTGAGGCAGAGGATTATAATTTTAAGGCTAACCTGAATTTTGTAGTGAGATCCTGTCTCAAAGGAAAAAAGGGAAGAAAGAATAGAAAAATGTCTTCCTAAAGACTCTGCCTCTGTATTCTCAGATTATACCCAGAAAGATGCCCCAGAAACCAGCAGTGGTGCTTGCTTAGGAGAGGGCTCTGGGAGGTGTGAGCTCAGGTGTGAAGAGGCATGCTTTGCACTATTTACTTTGCACTAATTTTGAGCCATAGAAATGTAATACAATTCAAAACTAATAATAAAACACTTTACTACAACACTTTAATGCCTTTTTTAGAGGCAGTTTAAGTCTAGAGTTTTCCCAGATTGAATACTAATTTCATGTCCAGAGCTTCTGCTCCCAGTTAAAAGCATCAAACTGGAATCAGATAGAATTAGAATTAGGTAGCTCTCCTGGCCCCCCGAGGAAACCAGAAATTGTTGGAAAATATATACTTCCTGAGGAATCCCCACTTAGGGATGCTTGCCCTTAATGCCTGATGAGGGTGGGGGCTTCCTCCTATTAGATAGTCAAGTGGCAGAAGTTAAGCATCACCAATCCTCAGAGACCAGGCTGGGAACTTGAGTATGTCTGCTTGTGGCCACTGGCAGGGTCACCGACCTGTCCTGAGGCTGCCTAAGGCTTTTGTGGAACTCTCACAGCCTCTGTGTCTGGGAGGAGGAGGAGAAGCCTCAGAATAGAGGCTGCATGAAAACATTACTTGGGGCTTAACAAAGAAGCCACCAGAATACCGTGGTGAAGGGACAGTTGGGAAATGACACCTGCCAGCTGCAGGACCGTGAAGCACTGGTTATTATTTCCATTTTAGAATCACATCAGATCCAAGAATGCTGCAGGCTGCATGCTGTGGCCACACCAGTTTTTGGACTGTTGAAGTGTTTCCTGTTGTCCCCACCCCCACTGAAGTTCGGAAACCATGGGTCCTTTGTCCACAGAGTGGGGAATTAGCAAAGCCTGGGCTCCAGCCCAGTTTTGTGCCCTCTAGAATGCACGCCCTTCCCTCTAGAAGGGACACTGTTCCTCTGCTCATCAAGAGGGCTGTGGGACACGAGGGACTGTCTCTTTGCCAAAAGATGTGCATGGGTTTTTCTCTCTAGAAAGAGAGGCCTGGGGTTCCCATTGTTACCTCCTCCTGCACTACCCACTGGGCTCCTGGTACTGCAGGAGGGACTGTGGGAGCCCAGCAGGGCCCTCTCTATCCTGTGACACACAGGATGCTCAGGCGTGGCACCTGCTGCTGCTGCATCACCTTCCTTGTCTTCAGAATGCTGGTGTTCAGGCATCCCTGCGGCTCAAGCCTGGGTTCCATGGGCCACGGGGCTGCGGATTTCCATCCATGTCACTACACTAGGGACAGGAAGGAGGAAGAGCAGCCTGAGACAAAGGCTAGCCAGCCATTTCTAGCTTCTGTGGGAGTGGATGGGCCAGGCTTAGAACCTGATACCCTTGCCAGAGGCCTAAGGTCAGCTAAGCCACCTCCAGGAAGCCCCCGCAACTCTGGGTCCCCATGCAGGTAGACAAGCCCATGCATGAGACTAAGCCATGGCCAAGATGGTAAAGCATCTGGGCATCCAGGTGGCATTGTGCTGGACAGGGTGGCTGTGTCTTCCCCCAGTCTGTGTGATGACAGTAGTGATGCTGACAGTGACCTCTTGGCCGGGGCTAACTGTCAGGGCACACTCTGAGTGTAACCTCAGTGTGATTATGCTCCCAGCCTTCATAGGGCAACTGGGGGAGGCCCTTTACACAGTTGGAGACACAGCAGTACAGAAGCTGGGAGGATGCCAGGAAGCTCAGTCACCCTGGAGCCAGGGGGCAGGCAAGGACAAGGAACACAGGGAGTGGAGGTGCCTCACCCAAAGTAGGCTGGGGGAGACCCGGGCTGGTGCGTGAGCCAGCCTGTCAGTGCGCCAGGCGGCACTTGGTCCCTGCAGGTGGCCTCCTACACATAGGCTGCTAGCGATGGCATTGCTGGCAAGGCCTGGTCGGTTCTGCTCGCTTGACTTCCCCCTGTGGGTGCCCCTTGTTTAAACTGAACAGTTGGGCTGTCATTAATTTTTCTGATGCCACAGTACTCTGTCCATTGTGGTTTTAATCAGCATGGAAGCCCGGCAGCAGGACCACACGCTGTCTGGAAGCCCCAAGAAGGACAAGCCTGGTGCGAGCATCCCAGGCTGGGTCTGAGAGCAGGCAAGGCCTCTTTAGATGCTGGCAGGCAGGCCTCGGGGTTGCCTGGCTGGAGGGGTTTGATCATTAATAATGTCTGATCAACCGTGAACCTTTAATAGTCAAGGAACTTTGAGTCACTCAAAGCAGGCCCAGCCCTCTCTTAGCTGATTAAACGGCACTGGGGGAGGGTTCTTCAAAGCGAAGCCTCCCCAGAACTAAAGGGGGTCCCGGAGGGAGTGCACCAAGAGGAGGAAGCCCAGGATCATGGGCAGTGGGCAACAGCAGGAAGGAGGGTTACAGAAAGGGTACCAGGCCCACGCGGCCATTCCACCCAACAGGCTGTGTTGTGGTTGGCAAATGCTAAAGGACTTGCTGAAGGCTGGCACTGCACTCTCCTGCCCGACGGAAGAGAAGGGCACCATCACCTCAAGGACAGGCAGACAAGGGAATAGAATAGCCATAGCTAAGACCTGCCACAGTCCCGCAGCAGGAGCAAAGACAGGGACTCTGTGGCATCCTCAGGAAAGATGAAACTGTTTTCACATCTTATCTCCATGACGGATGAAGAGTGAAACAAGTTTCCTGGGGGATTACGTTTAAGAGGCCCCTCCATTCATTACCCCGAGGATGGTTTCCCTTTCAGTGCACACTGCCCGGCTGCAGAAGTCATCAGGGGGTTGCAGGTGGGCCTGATCCCCGAGGACTGGCTGAGCGGTCTCCCCGTCTCTCCCTGCCCGGCCTCACCCACAGGGTACCAGATCGCCTACCGCCTGGCCAGCAGCCGCCCCCACACATTCACCACTGTGGAGGTCGGCGCCACTGTGCGACAGTTCACGGCCACGGAGCTGGCCCCGGAGTCTGCATATGTCTTCAGGCTGTCCGCCAAGACAAGGCAGGGCTGGGGGGAGCCGCTCGAGGCCACAGTCATCACCACGGAGAAGAGAGGTAAGCCCTCCAGCCCAAATCTGATGTCACAGATGGCAGGCAGGGGCAGGGAGGGTGGACATGGCACATGTGGCTGCCACGTTGGGCTCCCTGTGGTCCACACAGTGGCTGGGAAGCCAGAGACTTCCTTCAGAGACACAGAAAGGACCCACTGAACAAGACACTGAGCTGACCACATTATCATGTGGCATCTACATAGCATAGCCTTTGGCCACTTCCTCCTCTCTCAGACAGGTGAGATTACCCGGCTTAACGATGAGATGCATGGCTCAGGGAACTGTGCCAGGGTTGCACCCTGTGGGTGTGCCTTGCGTAACTGTGCCAGGGTTGCACGGTTGCATGAGTGAAGCTTCCCAAAGCCACACACCTGATCTCTGATGTTCCAAATCATGTGCCCAGGGAACAGGTGCCCAGGAGAGGTCTTCTGCTTAGCTGCCCTGCTATGACTGTCACAGGGACCAGGTGTGTGGGGTGCTGTGTCTCGGTCCTTCCTCACTGCAGCCTGTGGGATACAGGCTGTTCCTGTCAGTCTCACAGAAGCAAAAGCCGGACAGATTACTGATCTGCCGGTTCCCGCTGCTGTGGAGCTGAGATTTGGACCCACCCCCATGACCACAGGGCCAGCTCCACCCACCAGTGTCTGCTGTGGCTCCTGGCCCTTGGGCTCCTGCCCACAGCCTCAGGCCTGGCTCCAGAGCCTTCCCACAACTCAAACTGTGGCTGGTGACATCAGGGCCAGGGCAGAGGAGGGGGCAGGTGGATCCCATTGGGCTGCGGGGAAACAGCACTTGGAGCTGTGTGGCCTTGGGCAACTCCCTCCTGACTCTTGTGCTGTGGCACCAAACTGCAACCTGGTGTGCAGCAGTCTTCACCTGAATGGCTGTCCAGGTTGACATCAGGACTTCTTTGGAGCAAAGCTGGAATGATGTAAATGCTCAATAAATGTGAACTACTATTACTGCCATGTTTGTCACTTTTAAATTTTTTTTTTTTGAGGCACTGGGATTGAACCAAGTCCTCTTCACTCTGAGATCCAATCCTTTTTAGTTTTTGAGGCAGGGTTTCACTAAATTGCCCAGGCTGGCCTGAACTTGAGATCATCCTGCCTCAGCCTCCCACAATGACTTTTTATTATAAGATCTAGAATACAGTTTTAGGGAGTGAGGAGTTGAACTCAGAGCACTTGAAAAGCAACTATGGCCTTAAATCTAGAAGGGAAGGAGACCAACCTTGAGCTCCTACCATCTTAGTCACCTTGTTGGACATGGTTGCCTTCACATCCTTCTCTGGATCTCATAGAGGTGCTCAGGAGTTTACTGGTAGGGAAACCAGTGCTCTCTAGGGTGAGACCTCGCAAAGGCCCTGCGTGACCACTGGGTTGAAGATCAGCCTGTACAGCCTCAAGGCCTGCTAGGGAAGAAAAGGTTTGATCTAAGTCAGTTCCAAGTGGAAATACTCACATGAACCTCATTGTGGGTGGAGCAACACGGCCAGCCCATACCTGCCTGCTCTGAAGGCAGAGCCCAGAACCCCCCAACCTGTACCGCATCTCCTCCAGGCCACCTGCTCTCCCGGAGTTTAGATTCCCCAGCAGGCCCAGAGACCCTCTGTCTGTGGCTCAGGGACAGGGAGCCGAAGAGACCATGTGGTTGGCAGTGTGTCCAGATGGAGGCCTTGGGAGCAGGGGAAAGTTTCCAGGAGAAATTGGGTGGCACGGTGCGTGCCCAAGGAAAGACTGCTGATTAGGGTAGATCGAAGCACTTCTCAGACCTGTCACTGCAAGGCCCACGATCAATCGCTGCTTTATTACACCCCACACATTTTAATCAGAATCAATAATCTTCATGATAAACAATTAAACAATTATTCCTCCCTCTGTGGAGTTTATTGAAATCAATGGGGCGCAGGGGCATAGTGGCAGGTCGGTGATACCAACTCGAGACCAAGGCTGGTCTTGTGCATCTTGCACCATGAAGCCCAGCCCCAGTGCTGCAGGCAGGACAGCCGGAGGGGCCTGTATCCATGGCCCCCTCAGAAGAGGCAGAAGCCTCTCGTGTTGTAACTCGGGCTGGCCCTCAGGGAGGAAGGGGTGGGTGCTGATGGTGGACAGAGCCTGAGTCACGGAGTGCAGAGGAGGCGGAGGTGCTGGGAAGACCCCTGAGCTCCTGATGCCAGCTGTGGTTCAGACCCTAGCCCATGACAGGGGAGGCGGGTCCTCTGTGGGTACTGCCTCTGCTGCAGGAGCCTGCAAGTTCTCCAGAGAGGTCCAAGCCAGCACAGCCAAGGTCAGCTGGGAGGCAGCTCCCCTGTCTGACCTGAGACATCACCTTTCAGGATGTGACCCCTGTTCAGCCCATGGTCACAGGGACAGCTGGTCACACAGAAAGCAGTCTCCCTCTCACACCTGTCTATCTGCCCTCTTTGGTTACAGAGCGGCCAGCACCCCCCAGAGAGCTCCAGGTGCCCCAGGCGGAAGTGACTGCGCGCAGCCTCCGGCTCCAGTGGGTCCCGGGCAGTGACGGGGCCTCCCCCATCCGGTACTTCACTGTGCAGGTGCGAGAGCTGCCTGGGGGCGAGTGGCAGACCTACTCCTCATCCGTCAGCCACGAGGCCACAGCCTGCGCCGTGGAGAGGTACTGAGGGATGGGCTCTGCCACACAGCAGCAGGAGTCAGTGTCGGTGTCAGCACCCACCAAACCACCCCTATCCCTAGCAGCACTCTCCATACGGGGGACCCCCGTCTCTCCCAGGTGGCCTCGCAGGCATGCACTGCGCGGCGGGTTTGCACACATGGGCCCCAGGACTGACAAGGCATGGAAGAAGGGCTGAGCCTAGTCTAAGGGGCTCAGTGTCCCAGTCCCTCCAAGCTGATGCCAGACATGGGTAGAGCAGAGGGGAAGGGATGGATACTGGGGAAAGGCTAGAGAAGAGCACTTCTTTTTATATTCTCTCCCAGTGCAACAGAGGACAAGCACACCCCACCTAAGTACTGACCTGGATCGGTGATGGGTGAAGGACTGCGAGAGCCCGGGCCACAAGGCCAGAGTTCTCTCTCTCTCTATCTCTCTCTCTCTCACACACACACACTCTCCATTCAGGCTGTGTTCACCAATTCAGCAGGAGCGCAGCACTGACCATTCTGCTTGCATGGGCTCATGGGCTCCGCAGGGCCTTGCCACAGCCCCCTTCAGAATGGAGAAAACAAGCTGGGACAGGATAAGCCAGTGGCCCCACTCAAGCAGACTTTTTCAGTCCCAGAAAAGGTCTCAGCCTCTGATCTCACTCAGGAGCCACCCAGGCACTCAGGTTAGAACAGGCACCCTGCAGAATGTGGGCAGGGCTCCGGGAACTGAGCCTTCACCAGCACGTGCCAGTGAAGAGCAGCGTCCCCTTTCATAGTCACCACGGAGGTATTTCTGGTGTGTTCAGGTGGCTTCCAGATGGTTAAAGCTTTTGGTCAGAACTACATTGCTGTCATTGACATCATCATCACCGTCACTGTCATCACCTTATCGCTGTATAGGGGTCCCCCTTGTCCATGGTGCAGACAGATATTCCAGGATGCTCCACAGGAGCCTGAAACCACAGATAGTACAGAGTCCTCTGCATACTGTGCTTTCCCAGACACATAGGCCCAAGAGAGGGTCTACTTTATAAACCAAAAAGCAATAACTAATAGCAAAATAGAACAATTATAACAATACAGTGTGCCGTATAAATGTTGAAAACTTCTGAATCATTTATTGCTAGAACTTTCACTGGATATTTTCTAACACCAAGCAGAGCAAGACCATGAGCAAGGGGCCACTGTATTAAAACCTTCTGTCACTTGCAAAACCTTCCCAGAGGTTGCTCCGTGGCATCCTTAATAGCCCTGTGGAAATGCAACCCAGAATTATAGCATTCCCATTTTACAGAGGAGGAGTTTGAGGCAGAGATATCTTACATAAATGACATGCTCAGTTTTTCCAAGTGGATGAAATAGTCCCTTAACCTTCTGTGGCTCTGACATTCTTTGGGCCTCAGTTTTTGAGCCTTGAAGGATACCAAGCATCTCTGGAAGCTGAGTTACAAGGGGCCATGGTGTAGGGAAAAGTCAGGGCATTTGCAGCCCAATAGAAGCTCTCAGCTCTCAGCCATCTCAGTAGCTACATGGCCTTTAAAAAACCTATCACTATCGCCTGCCAAGCCTCAGCTCCTCACCTGAGAGCCAGGGCTAGGGGAAGGATCAGCAGTATCTTCCACCCCTCAGTCCCAGACTGACCTCACCATGACTCCAGCAAATGGGCAGCAATAAGTAGGGCCATCCAAAATGTCAGACTGTCCTCTGAGTTCCCGCCAGCATCCAGCTGACCCTTTGAGGAATAGCCATGGAGCCCAGGTGTTGTCCCCAGCCCTCCAGCAGGGAGTAGTCCTGGCGGCAAGTGCCACCCACCTGGAGTCCCAGGATGCTCCTGGGTTGACCCTGGAGGTCTGCTGACCATGGCCAGGTAGGCCCCACCTTCCCTAATAAGCCAGGCCGGACTGCACTGGGTGCTGAGCTGAATTAGCAATGTGCCCACGGAGTAAATGATTTCACTCCTTTTTGTTACCTTCAGAAAGAAAGAGAGACCCAGCCACTTTGTCTGGAGCCTTCTGAGATCATAGAGACTAATCATGCACTTGGGACTTGGTGTTGTAAAAGAGAGGTCCTTGTTTCAGGACAAATAGTTTAATTTGGTGGCAAGGAGGCCGTTGTCAATTTCCTAATGGGCCAGAACTAGGACAGATGCCTCCTCTGCCTGTCAATAGGAACATGTCACAGGCAGAATCCTGAGGAAGCAATATTTTGTACCCTGCAGTGGTATAACCTCTCTTCCTGCCTAATAATCCCGGCAGCTTTTACCTTTACCACTCAGGTGACATCTACAAGTAGCCAAAAAGCATGGTGTGTGTAGCTGTTCAAATCCAGGGACTGTGTGTGTGTGTGTCTGCTGACCGAGGGCCCAGGCCAGAGGGAGAGTGTGGGTTGAGACTGAGAACCTCCCATGGGAAGTGCTGCAAGGAAGAGGGGGTCACTTGACTTTGGGATGAGCAGTGACCACAGGGGCCCTGGGATGGCTGTGCATCTGATGGGCTCTGCTCTTCCCCTGATCCCTGGCAGGAATAGGTGCAATGGATCAATCATAGCAGAAAGGCTGGAAGGGGAGCCCCATGTGAAGCATGGGACCCGGCTAAAGCCACCTTGCCAGCCCTTGGAATCAGAGGGAAGCAAACAAGAGTCAGAGTCCATATTTCTTTGTCCCTGGAATCTTTAGAAACATAGGCATTTAAAATCAAGTGAATTTGGCCAAGAATATTACACATGGGTTCCATATTCTTTGTTCTTGGTGATGCAAATGATGAACTGTTAATCACCTTAATGCCTTAAGATAAATGAATAAAAGAGGTTAGCTTTTAAAGTGCGTTGGACTCATACATATGCTGTCACCAAAATGAATGCATGATACAGGTGCCCCCTTTACTGACAAGGCTCTGTGTGGCACTGTGAGAGAGGGACACTGTGGGCTGGGGCCCACCCCCTGCTCACACGCATTCCCTGCCACACTGGGTGTGACTCCAGGCCAAGGCAGGGGCACACTTGCTTTCTCAGTATGCCCAGCTCCCAACTCGGGAGCACAAGGGTTGGGAAGCAAGTTTGGGCAGTGAGCGTCTTCGTTCCCTGGGTTTGGGGTGGTAAGAGTCAGGTAGCAGGTGTCTTCTCAAAACTGTATTAAATCCATTGAGTTTCCAAGCTGGAAGAGCTGGAATTCGGAAGGCAAGGCACGCACAGTGTGGAAAGAGCAGGGGCAGGGCAGCGGAGGGTGCTGCATCCTGTATTCTGACTTCCTGGGAGGGAACAAAAGCACAGGGGCAGGAAATTCTGCAGGAAGACCAGGGAGAGAAGGAACATTTAGTAATTGCCTCCTGTGTAACAAGATCCCATGGACTCCACGAGATTGGGCAGTATAATTGTTTGTACAACAGCCTTGTTAAGTATGGGTGCTGGGGTGCTATTATCTCTACTTTTATAGATAAATAAAGTGAAACCCGTAGAAATGAACTGGGCCACACATGGTGGCGCACATCTGCAATCCAGCACTCTGGAAGGCACAGGCAGGAGGATTGCAAGTTCGAGCCCAACTTGTTCATCTAAGTGGCTTAGTAAAGCCTTGTCTCAAAATAAAAGTTTTTAAAAGGGCTGGAAATATAGCTCAGTGTAAAATCCCTGGATTCAATCCCCAGGACTGTACCATTAAAAAAAAAAAAAATGCCTTGCCCAGGTTAGTAATGGCAGAGCTAGAATCTGAATTCTTCTTGGCCAACTCCAAAGTACAGGCTTGAGCTGTCCAGGATGAGAACAGAATCAGGGGGCTGGGAAAGGTTGAAGGCGAGTGTCCTGGTATTGTTTACTCCTTTAGTCGTTACTGAAATCTCTGCCACAGAAGAGCATATGGCAGGGGACGGCGGGGTGGGCTGGAGGTGCCAGGGTCAGGAATTCAGACAATAGTCCAAGTCTGAGGGGGGCTTGAAGGGGATGGAGGGAGATCGGGGAGCCGGTGCAGAATATTACTGAGTTGATGCAGAGCCAGGGAGGCTGGTAACCAGGACAGGGGCTACCATCACCATCGTCACACGTCTCATCTGGCCTGTGAAATGCTGCTCGCCTGTGTGGCCTCTGAGTCATGGTCACCTGTTCTCAGGGATCTGCTGTGGCTTCCTGCTGAGAGGATTTGCCTCGTGTCTGTGGATGGAATGAGCTGGCAGGGCTCCAGTCTCCTTCTGTTTCCTTTTGCACCAGCCCCATCTGTCTCAGAGCCAGGCCAATTCACCCAGCCATCTGACATGTACTTACAGTGCACCACCGTGTGCCCATCGAGCTCTGGACCCACGTGGACAGTACAGAAATAGTGTCCTTAGGGAGCATTCAGTGTGGCCCCAGTCCCCAAGTCATTAGCCATAGTAACATCCAGCACTGCACACTGCTAAAGACACCACAAGTCTTTTCTAGAGCACCTACTATGTGACAGACTCACGTGTCTAGTGCTACAAAGCCCAGCACCATCATCCCTGTGTATTCCTTCCTTCAACAGGGGTCACAGGGTGGATGGAGAAGATCAGAGTGACCCATCAGCAAAGGGAAGGGACCAGCTTTTATAGGATGGCTCGAGTGGCCTAGAGGCTGGTTGATCATTACCTCAATTTTTATGCTGCAAGGTGATTCCAGAGAAGTTCTTGTCACTTGAGGCGCAATCTGCTTCCCAAAAGATGGTTGCTCCTGCTTGGTGAGGCAGGCTCAGCTCTGCTGGAGTCCAAAGGGACAACAGCTTCTAGGACAATGACTAGGACCTTGAGGTGCCCTTCCCAAATCTCTTATCTTGGTGTTTTCAGTCTTGAAGAGAGGTGAGGTAGGTTAGGTACATTTGGGACTACGACCTTCCTTAAATCATTAACCTGCCTGCATGCAGAGCTGAGCAGCAGTCTGACTCCAAGTTTGCAGGTGAGAAAAGAAACAAATGCAAAATGAAGGCAGAGACACCAGGCTTTGCCCTGCTTTTTACCCACTGGGCATCTATAGGCCCAAGTGAAGTTAACTGTTTTTTAACAAAAGCAGCTGTTAAATTCCTGACTACCTCAGAAGAAAATATACATCATGCTTTTAATGAGTAACAGGTTAAGGGCTCAGGGTGTGTGTGTCTTCTGTCCCTCTGTGGTGACCCCAACAGCATTATTTTCTAATCTGGCTTATTCTTGGAGATGCTATGGTGAGGGCGTCTGGGCTTTAAGGACGCATCTGGGCTTGGAGAGTGGTAAGCTTGTCTGGGAGAGCAAAGGCAAAGGGAAGAGCATGTGCCATACACTTAATCGGCGACAAATCTGAGTTAGACCCAGGAACGCCCCTATCCTTTGTCCCCCCGGTGGTCTCTGTCCCACGGCCACACTTCACTGGGAACATGCGGGCAAGGCAGGATGCCGGGTCCCCCAAAGTCATGTGTCTCCTTTCCTCTTTAGGCTGAGGCCCTTCACCTCCTACAAGCTGCGCTTGAAAGCCACCAATGATATCGGGGACAGCAACTTCAGCTCAGAGACTGAGGCGGTCACAACGCTACAGGATGGTGAGCAAGCAGCCCTAAAGCCCAGGACTTGCTCGTATGAGGGGCGCCGCTTTCATCCTGAGCCAGGAAGAAACGGGTCACCAGGGAGGTGGCGAGCAGCAGAATCCCATTAGCAACAGACAGCTTGGAGTATTCCCACACACCCCGCGATCGTAAATCAAGACATCAAGGGCTTCCAAATGGAATGGAACTTTCTTTGATTGTCTTCCAAAGCCCCTACGTCCATTAGCATCCCAGAAATTGAATAACTGATAGGGTCATTAAAAATAAATGTCAGTGGGTAGCTGGGTTTGAAAGGCTTCCCCCATTTTTCTCATTCATAAGATGCTGCATTTGAGAACAGCACAAGTAAGTGATGGAAGGCAGAGCCCCACAAAGTACCAGTTGGATTTTACATCCCCATCCTACCTCAGAGCTGCTGGGCCTGAAGATTCATTGTAATTTCCAGTGACCCGGGGCTGCCAGGCCACAGCGAGCCCGGGAGATGGTTCCATCAGACATGTCGGACATGTCTGGGGACAGAAAGGATGGATATTTTGCAGCAGGCAGCTCCGGCCCACAGTCTGAGCACTTAGTTCACCCAACAGTGCTTTATAACAATTCCCTAAGCCAACCCCAAAACACTGTCTTTTCCATTTAACGCACCAGTGGAACAATTTTCAAATAGACCAGCTTCCAGCTGGCTCAGCCCACGACCTCACATCTTCAGCTCTGCTCTTTTTAGAACCTGTGAGTTTAGTTGCTGCCACACAGGGCCTCACAGGACCTGAGGGACCAGCTCAGAGGTGGAGGGAGCCGTGCTCAGTGTCTCAGCTGCACTCAGACACTCTGCCGCAGACCCAGCCCTCCCGATGGGCAGAATCTGCTGGTTTGTGCCCTGAAAGAGGGGTCTTCCAGGCTCCTAGAGGTCCCTGGCTGGCTGAGTCCTCGAGAGCGAGAGGCTGCACCTGCCTTGACAAAGGACTTTGTGACCCCAGCCTCAGTGAATGCCTGCACTATTTCCCTGGCCCTATAATCCTGGGGGTTTGTTAGAGCCCAGGGGAAGATGGAGGGTGGGGCCAGAGAGGGGCAGGCATGCCTCACTGGCTCACTCTGCCAAGAGCCCAGTCTACCTCAGAGAGCTCACAGCCCGCCAGTGGGGAAATCAAAAGGGAGAGAAGCTGCTTCATTCAGGGCGAGGCTACACACAGCCCAAACTCCCGTCCTCCTCCGATCAATGCACTCACAGTGGGACCAACATGGCACTCCCCACAAGAGAAGGTTGGCACTGCAACTTCAGTCCCAACGCAAACTGCAAATGCCTTCACTTGAACCTCACATGTAACACAGCTGAGGTGATATTCACAACTGTGAACTGATTCTTAGAGCAGAGTAGAAAGACACACAGCAAGCAGGTTTTATTGTTGTGTTATCTCTGACAAACCCTGTGAGCATGAGATGGAACAGCTTCCCTGTGACCTGGGCGCAGGGGCCTTTCTGATAATCTATTCAAGCGACTCTTCAGGATCCTGAGGCCTTTCTTAATCCTTTGATATTCAAATCAGTGCTTTTGATGCACCTATCTCATCATCTTCCTTTCCTGAGAAGTGTAGTTCCCCTTTGCGGAGGATTTGCATTGTATTTGTGCTGCACTGTCTCCTGCTGTCAGCAGAGATTGACAGGCTGCAGGCTTTGTGACCCATACTAGGTGGGAGGGTTCTTTGAGCCTGGGGATGGTTTACTGATAAACAGTTTCTTATTAGGGTGGTTTTTATTTCCCTGCCGTGTAACTGGGCTCTCTGGAAAGCTGGGCCAAGGCTCACCTGAGGACAGACCAGCAGGAGGCTCAAATGAGGCATGGACTTAGAGGTGGGGGTAGTGGATGGAAATGGGGAGAAAAGGGGATCACGGGTCTAGAGGAGAATCACAGAATAGTGACCCAGGCATTTTGGTCAGGCACTCACATGGGAGTGTGGGACATTCTCAGTCTAACTAAACTCAGGAGATATTTATTAGCCATAGAATATCAGGCCTCTTCTAGGACCTTACGGCCAAGCAGACATAGCATTCCCCAAGAGAGGGCTGCATTGATTTGGAAGGGGACACAGGAGGGGTCAAAGAAGGCCTCCTGATGTATTGGACGACAGGATTTTGCTTTGATCAGAGGGCAGTGCTCAACCTTGAGCAGAGGTCAAACCAACCTTGTCTCTCCAGAGGACAGAGCAGAACCACCCAGGTTCCTGGACCATGACCCACTACCCTTTGCCTTGGGCAGCCTCGCTAAAATCGGCTCCCTTTCCCAACAGCCCCATTAGAATTCAAACCCGCTTTACGTGACCATCTGTCCTGCTCAGGAGAATCAACTCTGACCTAAGACTTCAAATAATGATGTATGTCCACCACTTCCCCAAGTTCTAGAACTATAGGAAGCTCCCAGGTGACTATCACTGGAGTGAGCAGCCCTTAAATGGTCCACCAGGGAGAGGTCAGACTCAAAGTCTTAGTGAAGAGCAAAGGGGAGGGCAGTGCCTATGGCCACACTTTTTGGGACTGGCCACATTTGGGAGCTCTTCAAAAAGGCAAGAAGGCTGCCCATAGGGAGGAAGGGCAGGACTGGTCACCCCTCACATCCCTGGGGTGGCCCCTGGGCCATTCTAACCCTGCTTCTGGGCTTCAGTTCCAGGAGAGCCTCCAGGATCTGTCTCAGCTACACCACACACCACTTCCTCCGTGCTGATCCAGTGGCAGGTAAGAGCTGGGGACCCTGGCAGTTTGTATGACACGCTCTTATTCTCTGGGCCCTTCACCCAGATTGGCTGGACTTGGATACAAGCCACACCTACACCAAATGTGTGAGTGGAACAGGGATACAGCCTGATCAGCAGACCAGTGAAAGGGAAACTGGTGTCATAGTTATTTCCTAAACACTACAACCATGACCACAGTGCAAGGACAGAATGAACCTATCCTAGAGTCCTCAGGGCAGGCAGGTGGGTAGGGTGTCAGGACTGGTTCAGACATTCCGGGAATGGATGCCTGTAGGCCTGGACAAGATGCTAGAGTCCTCTCTCCCCAACATTCTCCCAGGCAGTCAGTTCACCTGCAGCTATCTATTTGCCTAGAGAAGTCATCCTCTGCTACATAGAATGGCTACAGGATCATGTGTATTTTTACAAAGTCTGGGTCTTTAATCTCCAGTGAACACTGAAGCAGACAAGCCGTGTTTCCCTGGTAGCAGGCCACGCTCAGCGGGTCTGTGGGCGAGTGCGCCAGCACAGCATTGAAAGGGCATGCTGCCCTCTTTGCACCTATTCCCAGTTCTGGGTCATATTTACTAAATGCAGGGTTAGTAAATAGATACAGAGGAGGATACAGGTAACAGAAAGGCAGAGCGTGGGAAAACCCACCTTGGGAATGAGGGCTTGAATCTACAGACAAGGGCTGGGCCCAGGGCCTGGAAGCAGAGATACCAGATTCTGGGTTAGCTCCCCAGGCCCAGGGCTAGCCCAGGCAGGTATAGCAGACCACCGGGCTGCCCCTGACACCAGGTTGGAGGTTATCATGCTGGGGAATGGTTGGGGAGGACACCTAGGTATGCTGCTGTGGCCCAAGGGGTGGTGTGTGTGGTCACGAGTGAGATTCTTCCTAAGGTTGTTAGCACCATGGAAGACAGTGACCCCTTGACTCAAGAGTCAGCAGGAAAGAGGACAATGCTGTGGAGGTCAGGAGATGAAGCTGACCTCAGTGACACTGAAAACCAAGCCAGTACTGTGGTCTGGATGATACCTTGGACAGCCAAGAGGGCTATGTTGTGCTTTGTACTTTTTTTTTTTTGGTACCAGGAATCAAACTCAGGGCCTCACGCTTGCCAAGCAGGTGCTGTGCCATTAAGCTACATCCCTGGCGAGGGCCGTTGTAACCATGTAGCTCAGCAGGGGCTGGAAGGGGGTCGTATATGTGACACGAGCACAAGGCCTTCGAAGAACTCATCCCAAGGGAGTGTTTCCCAGGCCCTGAAGAACGGCCTGCTGCCTCAGCAGCCTTCCTGGGGCACCTCAAGGCCAGGACTGGAGCTGAGGGGAAGGAACTGAGTCAGGAGACCTGGGTAGGAGGAACCTTGTGACAGAAGTGTCCAAATTACCCTGCTTGTGACTGCGGAGTCCTAGCAGTCCTGCTTCCCTGGCAAGGTTGCCATTTGGTGATGTCAGTACTAGACTGAATCCTAGCAAATGACACCACAGCCGAGGGACAGAGGTGGCCATTTTGTAGGGATCAACTCAGCGAAACTTGTTTTTACCACCCGTTTGACTTCGGTAAAGCAGGTTTCTGCCAAGAGCATGTCATCTCCTCCGAACATCGATGGAGTCATGTGGCCCCTCCTTCACGTCCTTTCTCTGTGCCTCATGGCTTCTCTAGAGAGGACAGAAACCTTTCAGAGTGACAAAAAGTCATTTCCTGGTGAACTTGGAATTCACCGTCATGAATTCAGCCTCTTGTAGGTTTACTGTGGAGTAGGGAATTAGGTGGGAACAGGGAGGCACAGGCAGGGCTCCCATCCACCCCTATCTGCCTGGACACCCTGGCAAAGTGACAGAGGACCTGGCCTCCATCTCCCTGGGGCCACTGTAACCACAAGAGGTCTCTCTGGCTCTAGGTCCCTGCTCTGGAAACAGAAAATCTTAAAGGCCAAGGTCTCTGGTATTCCAGGTCCGCCATACCTACAGTCTCCACTGGGCCCCAATTCCTGTGCCAGGAGGTAGGAAACACTCAAAATGGAAATTCAAGGCCCCAAGCACTTGTGTCTCCCACCCTCCATGAGTGTAATCAGCTGGAAGAAGATTGGGCTTTTGTACTGTGTTAAGTTCCACTCAAAAATTAGCATTTTCTTTGTAGACATGGCCGTCGGTCTGCCAGTCACAAGATAAGCTCCTTTCTCTAAAAGCAGCCAACACTCAGGCCACAACAGGTCGGCCCCTCCAGATCAGTGACTGTGAACCACGGTCAGCCGCAGCGTCCTGCCTCCAACGGCGCACATCGCGCCCCTCCATTGCTGCTGGAAGCGCTGAGAGCTGCGCCAGAGGAACTTGGCACATGTGTCCATCAGCTGTCCCCTTCAAGCCCACTGGAACAAACTAATTGCAAAAAGCCCAGAGCAGGAGGTGGTCAATACGCTGCATTGTAGGAACGAATGCCTGTCAACTGCCAGGCAGTTGAGGTACAATTGAAATTATGAGTAATTTGCTAAATCAGAGCCAACAGAACAAAGGAAATGAAAGTAGGTTTAAATATAGATTTGCATTCCCAATGAAACGTTTCACCTGTAAACCTTTGTTTCTTCAGTAATTTGTTGAAAAATGCAAACAGTGGCTGTAATTTCAAGGCTCAGCCCCACTTAAATGCCTCCTCCACCGCAGCCTGTCAAGTCTGATTCTTCTTAGTGGGATAATCAATCTGTGCCTCCATGGGGTCCTCTTCTATTTGAAATCCCAGGATCTGAACGTGTGTCCCAGACAGGAGGGGCACTGTGTTACGCTGAGCATCCCTCCGAACAGGCAGGGAGGTCTCAGGTTGATCACAACACTGACGCTGGCTTTCCTAAACCTCCCAGCGGCCATGCTGCCTGCCATTCAAAAGGGTGTCCCCTCGGGCAGCTCGGAGTCCTCCGGTGGATTTGGACACTGTTTTCTAGCAAAGAAAAAATCCCAAGCAGTAGATCGCCTCATGCTTGGAGCTGCCAGAAGAAGATGGATTCAGTGTTGTCACAGGCACTTCCCCAGGGAGCGTGACATCTGCTAGGCAGGGAGCAGAGCCTCAGGGCTTTTTCACAACAGATACTGGAGTTTGTTCTTTTCTCCATTTGCACCACAGTGTGCAGAAGGCCAGCTCCCAAGCAGAGCTCTGGGCTCCTGAGGTAGGAGGGACAGGCACAGAACTGCAAGAGCTCAGTTGGCATCAGTGGGAAAGCAGCAGGGAGCCACTAACTGTGGTCGGAGGGAAACTAAGTACACTGCAAGGGACTGATGGCGTCCCCAGGTACAAAGCAAGAAGGCACAGCTGGGGCAAAGGCTTGGAGGCAGGAAGATGCCAGGAGTTTGATGCTGTGTTTCAGGGGAAGGCACCTTGGACCACCTGTGTTCCTCTAACCACTGGAACTTAATCCTGAGGGGAATCCCTGCTCCCCTCTCCAGGAAGTGGAAGTCATGGCCAGGGACTATGGCAATCCAATTTGACTTCAACTTGGTTCTAACGGTGCCTCCTGCTATCCCTCAGTCCAGGTCCTCTCCTAAAGAAGGGGCCTAGCCAGGGCCTGCCCCACCTTCCTCCCACCCAAGCCGTGTGGCTCAGCCTGTCCCTGTGAGGCAGGAGGGAACTCAAGGTGGGACTCCTGTTCCTGCCCAGCCCAGACCCCTCCACTCAACGTGCTATCCATCCTGGTCTCCCGGTGCACCATTGGCTCCCTGCTATGTTGTGTGATAACACCCAGGCACACTTTGGCTAGATCACCTGCATTTTCACAGGGAGCTTTTGAAAGGAGAAAACCCACTCCGGACTCTCAAAGAGTCTGATAAGCGGCCGGTAGAAGAAGATGGTTAGGAAGGTGCCTAGTCCCCTCACACATCTGCCTGCACACATGGCCAGTCAGTCAGGAACACAGCGGGCACACGGTCGTCATAGTCTCCAGAGAGTTGACTGAATAGCTACTTCATCTGAGTCCATCAGTCCCCAGTGCTGAGAGACACACAGGGGGCAGACAGAGCCTTGACCCTGGGCACATGGCAATTCAGAAACGTCAGCTGAGGGCTGGGAGAGCCAGTCCAGGTGCAAAGGGACTTTTGTTTAGATTCATGTAATACTTGGAGACCAACAGACTCCTGCCTTTTATGGGTGCAGTGTGAGCCTGGGGATTCAAGCGATCATGGTGGTCACAAAACCAGAGTCCAGATCCAGAGACCAACCTGCCCCGCTCTTCCTGAGCCCATGTGTCCCAGGGAGGTGACCTCTGGGGGCCTCCAGAGCTGTACAGGATGATCCCTTACTCCACAGATGGAAAACTAGGTTACACACCGTTCAGAATCCCATGTTTACAGGCCCACCATCTGCATAGTGACCGTCTTGGTGAGTGAAGCTCAGCTGGGAAGATGGGGCCTGGGACAGCTGAGGTCCCAATGAAACTGTCCTCTGGGCCTGGGTCAGGCAGCTTTGCACCACAATAACAAGACACCCAAGATAATCAACTTACAAGAGAAAAAGTTCTTTCAGCTCCCAGTTCTGGAGCTTCTAGCTCATGACTGGGCAGACTCGCAGCTTTGGACCTCTGGCTAGGGTCGCAGATGACAATGCTGGGGAGCAGATGGAGAAGAACACTGCTCATCTCATGACCAGAAAGGAAAAGAGACAAAGAGCAGCTGGAATCCCACAGTCCCCTTCAGAGTTTCACCCCCCAGCAACCGAGGGCCTCCCACATCCCAAAGGTTTCAGTGCCTCCCAGTAGCACCACCCTGAGGACCAAGCCTCCAGTACACAGGCCTCTGGGGACAGTCCCTAAGCCACAGCAGTGTTGTGCCTCCCCTCTGAAAATTTCCTGCTGGTAGAAGGGATGCATTTTGACCCTTGTGATGCTCGGACTTCTGGTACAGGCAGCCATCTGTCGGCCTGTTGGCAAATGTGACCTCAGCCTGGTGTTCTTTGTGCCTTTGGTCTTTGGTTGGCCTCTTTTACCAAAGCCTCCAAGCATCCTGTCCACCTTGGCTAGAACTATTCTTGAATCCGAGATCAGGAGTCCTCGGTCCCAGGATGTGCGCCCCAGGGCTTGGGGATAGCGTCTCTGCTGCCAGGTCCAGAACCACACTTAGTCCCCAGTGAGATGTTTTTATTTTCCCAACCTTCCCACTTCCTGTTTATTTGATATTTTTGGTGAATCACATCCCAATCCAGGCCTGCCTCCTGCTCCATGGTAAATTGCCCTGGCTGTGACCTCATCTCCAACTCTGCATGTTGTAGGGGCGGCAGCAGAGCCTTGGCAATCCTCCCGCTGGGGCCGAGTGCCTGAGCTGCCACGGGAATAATCCAGGGCTGTGAGGGAGGCTTTGAAGGTGATCCTCGGGTGAGATTGCCAGGCTGGCACTTAAAGAGACCCAGCTGCAAGTATTTGATCTTCCCTCTCGCCTCTCCCTTCTTGCTGATTCCAGTCAGCCCAGATCCCAGAGACCAATGTATGAGCCTTCTCATCTTCCCTGCCATTCCCACCTCCCACCAGTGTGAGTGAGGACAGTGCCAGGAACTCTGGGCAGGACTGCAAGAGCAGGCTCCCAGCACACATCCATGTGAGTCAAAGCAGTGGAGCAGGGATGTATGTCCCTCTCTCACCAAGGTCAAAATCCTAGAATTCTATGAGGAAGTCTGCCATCTGTCATTTGGCAGAGGGCTCCTTACCCATACATTTCTACAAGATAGGAAAAGCGATGGCCCAGGGTACCATCCGGGCCCAGAGTGGCTCTTCAGTGACTCAGGGGAAGCTCCTTTCTGGCCAGAGTCCTGCATTGAGCTTCAGATCATCCTGGGAATCTACCACAGAGAACAACACAGGCCAGGGGCTGCACCTGTAGCCTGGCTGCCCCTCCCAAACCTGCCCCAACCATGGGAAGCTCACCCCATCCTTACATCCTCCTAAAGGATCCACACCAAGCACTGTGGCCACCTCCTTCTCCAAGGGCTGCTCAAAGTCATCCCTCTGTACATTAGCTTCAGCTCTGCCTTGGCAGTAAGCACTGCTCCAGGAAGCTCCACAGTCCTTGCTTACTCCCTTCCCTGGCACTCAGGACACCAGGACACAGACTACATAGATCTAAGGAGGTAGCCAGGTGACAGCTGACTGCCCCAGATGCAGACCCCAGTGGTTTCATACATTAGCTCATGACACCTGCCCTGCACCTGGGCTACAGCTGTGTGGAAGCCTTCCCTTCCGGTTCCCTCAGCCCTGCTGTATTGTACCACAGGCCCACAGGCCACATCAGATCTCTGAGCCGCTGTTGGCAAAATAGCCAAGCTCAGCTTTCCCTGAGGCCTCCACTGGGGCAGTGGTAAAACTGAGACAGCATGGGAAATGCCTGTTATTCTTACACATCCACTTTCCAACTTTGTAAAAAAAAACAATGAGTGATTCTGAGATAAGAGAGTGATTTATTCTGAGCCAATACAGAAGACTGTGCCCAGAACAAACCTCAAGTTAAGCACAGGACTTGGGCCAAGACATATTCCCTGCTGTAAAGAGACTCCAGAAGCCTTTTACAGTCCCAAAAGAAAGCCAGCGAGGTCATCAGGAGGCAAAGGACAAAAAGATGGAGAATCATCCACGAGACTTGGTGCTGCTTTCAGAGAGTTAGGGGGAAACTGCCCACAGCATTCAGGTGCTGCCTCCTTCCCAGCCTCAAGTGCAATAGAAGGCAGAGGGGGGCTGGGGATTTAGCTCAGCGGCAAAAGCGCCTGCCTGGCAAGCGCAAGGTCGTGAGTTCAGTTCCCCGGTACCGGAGAAAAACCAAAAAAAAAATTAAAATTAAAATTAAAAAAAAAAAAAAAAAAAACAATAGAAGCCAGAGGTCAGAGGAGCTGGCAGACATTATAAGATTCTCTCCACTAGACACATGGAAAATGCTAACCCAGGCACAGAGGCCTTTCAGCCAGATGTGGCCTCTCACACGACAACTCCCTCTGGCTTAGACCCACACTCGGCTCTGCCGCCTGGCCAATATGGCAGAGCTGTATCCAGGTCAAAGCCCCCACTGACGTGGATCTTCTGGCCTCTCTGGTGTGGACCAGCAAGACCTGGCAGATCCAGCCAGGTGTGCATTTACACTTTTCTGCCTCTGGCTGTGTGGTTGTGTGCTGTGGTGCTATTCCAGGTTGTGGGCATGCAGAGAATGGCAGAGAGCCACGAGCCCTTCTGTGTGGCAGGCCTGGGTGCTGAGGACTCAGTGAGTTAGCAGTTCTCATTTTGAAAGCCATCCTGGGTGTGACATGTACACACTGTGCTCCTTAGTCAAGTGTGATTATTGTTGCTAATAGTGTTAACTCATGTCTCTCTCAGAGGCTGAGGCAGGAGGGTCACAAGTTGCAGTCCAGCCTGGATACTTAACAACTTAGTAAGACCCTGTCTCAAATTTTTAACATAAATAAAAAGGGCCTGGGAATATAACTCAGTGTGAAAGCCCTAGGTTTAATCCCTAGTACAGAAAAAAAAAAAAAACAACAAAACAAGAAACAGTATTTCTGGTTTTCTGACTCATTCAGATGAAGGGTTTGGATAGCAAAGGAGGCTGCCTGCTCCCAGTCTGAGTTTTAGATCATGAGTATCAAGAGTTCAAAGGAAAGGTTTATCTGAAAACCCAGATCCTTTTGGTACCTGACTTGGACAGATTGGAGAGTAGGGATTAGCAACTGTATGTTGGTTTTCCAGAACTACTGTCAAAATGACCACAAGCTGGTGGCTTAAAACAATGGAATTTTATTCGCTCACAGTTCTGGGGACCAGAAGTCCAAAGTCAAGGTGTTGGCAGGTCCACGCTCTCTCAGAGAAAGCCTTCTTCCCGCCTCTTCCAGTATGGCCGCCACAGCATGGGTGACAGGGCTGTCCTTTGATTGACAGCACCCCTGGGCATCCCTTGGCTTGCTGATCTGTTTCAGTCTCTGCGTGGCATTCTCCTTGTACCATCTGTCAAATTTCCCTCCCCTTATCAGGACACTAGTCATTGGAGTAGGCTGACCTCATCTCAACTACTAATTCTATTTGCAAAAGACCCATTTCCTAATGGGGTCACTTCCAGGCACTAGCAGTTAGACTTCAGCACCGTGCAGCCCACAGCAATGGGGGTCTGTGGTAGCAAAAGTGTGGACTTTGCTCAGGCCACAGAACAGTGTCCTGAGGGGCTGGTGGCCTCGTGTACTCAGCCACTCTGTAGGAGACATGGGAAACTCAGCATTCCTCCTGTCCTTGAACAGGGTTTCGTGACCTTGTCTCGTCCACCTTCCTGGTCTCAGCTTAGAAGGTTGTCATCCTTCATTCTTCATCTGAGCCTCCAAGGAGGAGAGACCAGACTGTCAGAGCCCCAACACCCACATGGCTGTGGCCACCAGGGCTTCATGAGAAACCTGTGTAGAAGGAGGGGTTTTCCTTCTACTGACAGATCTGTCAAATACACTGCATATCCTCCTCCAACTTGTTAACAGACACTGACTGCGAGAGGAAGACAACCTTGGCTGGGTCCTGCATGGCGAGCAGCCACTTGGATTGGAAGAGGTCTTTGGTCCCACACACCTGTGTCCCAGCAGGACCTGAGCCCATGTCCTCTGCCTGCCCCGTAGGAATGTGCCCTGCCCTGTCACTGCCCTTCTTGTGTTAGCAGATGTGGGGACCATGAGGCATCCAGCCTTAGTCTGGCTGTGCAGTGGGGTATCCTGGCACGTGGAGGCGTCAGTGAGGGGCCCGGTATGGCTGTCACAGCATGGGTGGCAGGGATGAGCAGGCAGGGCGGAGCCAGTTGGGGCTTGGGCCACTTCCCAAGTTCTCTTATGTTTTGGGGTTACACCATCTTGGCAGCCTCCTTGCCTTGGGGCTGTGCCTCGGCCTTGGGGCTCCTTGAAGTGCTCCAGCTAGATATGAGAGAAGGTGCCTGTGTCCCCACACATGCCAAGGTAACCCAAGTGTGAGCGAGGGCTCCTCATAAATTTCACACCTTTCTTTCCTTCTTTGCTTTAACAATTGGGAACTGTAGACTTGACCTGGTGACTCCACCACACAGTGGACTGGTTAAACTGAGGCAGAGGCCACCAAGCCCCTGACGTGACTCTCGGCATGGCTCAGCATGTGGTATCTTTGCAGCCTCCGAGGGATGAGAGCCTGAATGGGCTTCTACAGGGATACCGGATCTACTACCGGGAGTTGGAGTCTGAAGCAGGCACCAGCCCCGAGGCCAAGACGCTCAAAAGCCCTTCCGCACTGCGAGCCGAGCTCACAGGTGAGCCCTTTACCTCCGCCTGGGACCACCCCACTCTGAGCAAGAGACCTGGTACCAGGGGAGCCTGGATGGGGCACAGACCCAAGCTGGGGACCTAGGTCACATGGCTTGCAGTAGTAGTGAATTGAGTACAGGTTTGAGGCTGGTGGGGCATAGCGAGGGGACAATGGGGCCTTGAGTGCCATGGACAAAGGGAGAACAAGCACCAGGCCCTAGGGAAGCATGGCTGTGGCATGTAGGGATGGCATAGGCCTGAGCGTGAGGCTGGGCCAGGCCCATCATGGCAAAGGCAGGCTCTGCAGTTGTCACAACATGTGGCCTCAGCCTGCAGCCTGGAGTCTCCCACCCCTGACCTGACCTGGGCCTGCCCTGATTTGGTCCAGCTGTCACCAAGGCAACCTCAGGAATGGCAGGAGCCCCCATCCCATACCTCCTCTTCTCTTGGAAGCGGGTAGAGGCTTTCATCTCCTAGGCCCCGACCATGGTCTCACAGAAAGCCCACCTGCCCTTGACAAGGATGCAGGTGGGGAGTAGGCCTAGAAATGTGCCCCTGGGCAGCGCCTTCCATGTCTCCCACCCCTCCCACCAGGAGGCTGCTCCCCAGCACTCAGCCTCTCCACCACAGAGAGATGCCACAGAGCCTTGGACACAGGTGGCCCTGATGGGTACAGGAGCAGTGCTGTTGATCCTGAGGAAACAGAATGGCTGTTTTTTACCTTTGCTCCACCCAGAGGGTGTTCCTTACTGATGACCCAGCAGTTGGCATCTCCCTGGGCTCTGCACCACAGAAGGCCCAGCCCGTAGTGGGGCCAGAAACATGAACCAAGCCACGCAAAGGTGCTTAGCTTTGGTGATCTCAGGGCAGGGCTCCACAGGTGAGTGCCAACAAGCTGACAGCCCTGCTTTCTGGCAGCGCCTAGGAGAAATCATGTCTGAGTCTTCCCTGGTGCAGCCAGGCAGGATGGCAGGCCAGACACTGTACACAAGTTTGGTTCCATCAGCGGGTGTTCTGCCTCTGCCTGTCCTGTACCAGTGTCTTGCTGTTGTAGGAGGAGCTTTGGTAGCCCCAGGGATGATGGGAAGGATGTGGGCAACATTGCAGTATGTACCTCTAGGTGCACGAGGGAGCCAGCCACTTCCTCTCATATCTGCTGCAGTAACTGCTTCCCTTTGTGCTAACTGCCTTTCTGCTTTGCTTATCCCTGATAGCCCAAAGCAGTTTCAAGACCGTGAACAGCAGTTCCAGGTTAACAACGTATGAATTAACACGTAAGTGTACACCTCTCCAGCCGGAGGCCACTGTGACCAGGCCTTTGCCAATTAGGCTCTCAGTGGACCAAGGGAAACCAGGTTGGATTAATGGCTCTAATTTCTGGATTCCACCCCCACTGCAATGCTGCTTCTCAACATGCTGAAATCATCAGGGGACAGGAAAGGAAACTTCCAGAAGTGGAAGCTGGAGGGTTTGTGGTACTGGCATCTGGTCTCCTGGGCTGGGATGGAGAGGAAAGTCGGGTTGGGCAGGATCTCCTCTCTGACTCCCTTGGCCCTTTCTTTTTTTTTTATTCTTCTTTTAAGTTGTGACAAAATGCACATAGCACACAATTCGTTGTCTTAACCGTTTTTAGTGGGTGATGCTGATCCACTTATCACCATCCACCTCCAGAGCTTTTCCATCTTCCCACACTGAAACTCTGTGCTCATTAAACATGAACTCTCCATTCCCAGCTCCCGCCATGCTGTTTCCTAGCTCTATAAATCCAGTAACTCTAGGACCACATATCCGCAGACATTTTTTCGGTCCCCTTGGCTCTGGCTTATTTCCCTGAGAATCAAGTCCTCGTGGTTCATTGCCTGTTGATAGCAGGGGACAGAATGTCTTTCCTTCTTAAGGCTGAATAATATTCCACTGACTACATGCTACACTTTGTCTGTCCATCCTTCCTCTGACCTTAAACTGTGCAGCTTTCCCTTTGGTTTTTGCCTGAGGGTGGGTTTCAAGATTCAGATGTGGGGCCTGGGAATGTGGCTCAGTAGTAGAACATTTGCTTAGCATTCATGATGTTCTAGCTTTAGTCCCCAGCACCTAAAAAAAATCTAGTATGTGCCTGACGGTGATCCCATAATGTGGTTTTCTTTGATGCAGGGAATGTGGCTGGGTTCGGAGGGTTGGGGGAGGGAAGCCAGGCCTTTCAGAGCCTCTCTGACATTTCTTGAAGGGCCCAGTCCACACCATGCCATTCTACCCCACACCCTATGGGCAGCTGACATAGCCCCTGGTTAGCAGGGCAAGAGTTACCCAGAGGTGTGTCTTTCCCTGTACCATACTCCTTCCCAGAGTGTCACTCGTCCAGTGGGTCCTTTGCTCACCCTGCGTCACTCTTTCCCCATGTTCACCACTCCCATGCACATGTTTGTGAAGTATCCACTGGAGCCAGTCACCTCCCACACATCCCTCAGCAGGGCAGCAAGTTAGAGCTAGGGGACCCACCCAGTTCTGGCCAGGAGGGTCCCCAAGGTGGAGGTCATGCTGGATTTTCAGCCTCCTCCTCCTCCAAGATTCAGTAGCCGTGTGAGTTCCTGGGTTGAGATCCGTTAGCCAGCTGTAGGGGTGCAGGAGCACTTCCTGTGGGCCATTCTCCATTGCTGCTGGGCGGAGTCGGAGTGTGGGACCCTGACTGAGCACATGGGCAGAGCCGTGCTCTTTGCTCTGAGGCCAGGATGAGAGGACCTCTGTGATCTGACTCGCTGAGGGAGGCACATTGTGGAGCCTGGTGTGAGTCCAGCACTCACCCCAGAGGTGGCACATGCCAGGCCTGGCAAAGCTGCACCAGCCCCACAGCAGTCTCCCCACGGGAGTTTCTAGGACACTTTGGCTTCAAGGTCAGCTCCTCTCTCCCTGTCACTCAGTGTGAGGCCAGTGCTCAGCCACCTACCTGTGTCACTACAAACATGGCTTCCCACATACACCTTTGTCTTCCTAGCACATGGTCATGAAAAACTCAAGGACCTCGGGTCTACTTATAGCTTTTTAGGTTTTTTAAATCCCAAAGACTTCCTGTACCTGTTGGTAGTTCTCTGGAGAGATCCAGGCCAGGGCTGGCTCCAACAGAGCCCTGAGAAGGCCCTGGGAAGGCTTTGGTGCTGCATTTCATCTTCCTGTTCTGTGGGTGCTTGATTGACAGCCAGGAGGAGCAGGAGGAGGAGGGATGTGGCCTGTAATAGGGCCGGAGACATGTCACAGACCATTGTGGAAAGCAGTTTAACTGTTCCCTGCCTCCCCTCGGGGTGCTGGTTCCTCCAGTAGGGGCATGGAGGGAGCTTTCTAAGGTGGTCCCACTGCCAGCTGACCAGTCTCCTTTACCCTCCTAGATCTGAAGAAGTACAGGCGCTATGAAGTGATCATGACCGCTTACAACATCATCGGTGAGAGTCCTGCTAGCGCACCTGTGGAAGTCTTCGTCGGCGAGGCCGGTAAGCTCTATCATCCCCTGCCCCCATGGCCACAGGGAGTGGAGCTCAGTGGCTTGGACTTGAAGCCCTGCTCTCCCTCCCTAAACACGTCGTGAGTGGGGTGAAGGTTTGTGTGTCGTGGCTGAAAGAGTGTGGCTTAGCAGGGTTCTGGGCTCTCCTAACAGCTCAAGTACAGCCATGCCTTGCCTTTGTGACCTAAAGGGTCTGTCCAGGATCCAGAGCTATTTATTGTAGTGTGATGACTTCGTTGCATAGAGAGATGTTCCCTACTCGATGAGGGTTCCAGCGTGTGGGAAAAGGGAACCTTGGGGTCTGGAGGTATGGGTGTTTGTACTTAATCACCCACTTATCTGTTATTCCATGGGCTTCTTCAGTGGCCCTGTGACCGGAGCCAGCTTCATTCATGGCAGCGTCACATTCTCTACGTCTGCAGAAACTGTGTGGCTCTCTGCTTCTACCCTGATAGGGTGTGGCTCTTAGGCTGATTCAGGGATATCCCTTTGGTGAAGTGAACTTGCAGTGAGACACAGTACTGTGACTCCAGATGCACTTACTCTTCCATCTGCCTCCTGGCCTCATTAATAAGGCCACACTGTCTGTGCCGACTAGGAGATTCCTGCACTTAGGAGCCCAGCTTTTAGCTGACAGCTTTAGAATTTCTGTGGCATAATCCTAGAACTGCTGCTCAGGTGGCCTAAGCAGATTGAGAGGTGACACTTCAGGCCCAGGACAATGAGAATGTCCCCAAGGATAGAGCCCTAGCCTTGGCAGAAAAACTGAGCAGCCCTAAGCGGGGAGGCTTCTGGGCCAGATGGTAGAACTGCATGTGGTGACCTTTGGCAATTTAGAGAGGTCATTGTTAGAAGCCAGTCAGTGACGCAGAGGGAGGGATCAGGCAATGTTTGCATATCTGTGGGGATGCAGAAGTGGAGCATATGTGATTCCTACCTCTCCTTCCTCAGAAGTCCGTCCTGGGTTCACTCAGTTTTCACAATGGGAGCTGGAGGTCCAGTAGGGAGGGCCTTACTGACAGAAGAGTCATACAGTGGAGGAGGGATGTCACCAGTGCCTCAGTAAGGGGTGACTGGCAGACTGCACTCCTCCAGAGCCTCCAGGCAGCTAGCTGGGCCCCCTGGGTCACCAGGGCAGGGATGGGAGATTGGAGACAACCAGCCAGCAGGGATGCATAGTAACTGAGCTGGCACATGGGACTTATGCCCACCACCAGCCTACACCCAGAGATGACAGGCAGGTCCAGGGCTCAGGACTCCAAGGCACAGCCTAGAAGAAAGAGATATAGCAGGGAAGAAGGAGATCAGGCAGAGGCCAGGCAGTGCCCTGTGGTGACATGGTGCCAGCTCCCAGCTCTGATTCTAGGGTTTGTTATTGCGACTTATAAGATACACATAACATAAAGCGTGTCATCTTAACCTCCGTTGCCACAGTTCAGGGAATTAAGCACATTCACGATGTTTGTGCAGCTATCATCACCATTCACCCCCAGAACTTTCTCATCTTCCCAGGGATTCCAGACCCACTGACCATTCCCTTCCCTTCCTCTCTTCCTCCCAGCCCCTGGCAACCTCTGACTTACTTTCTGTCTTAAATTTGCCTATCCTAGATATTTTATGGAACTGTGCAGTGTTTGTCCTTTTGAACCTGGTTCCTAGTACTTAGCATAGCATTTTTGAGGTTCACCCATGTTGGCATGTATCAGAACTACATTCCTTTTCCTGCCTGAATAATATTCCATTGGATGGATAGACTACATTTGTTGACCCATTCTTGTACTGATGAATGCTTGCATTGTTTCTGCCTTTGAGTATGTGAGGAGAGCTGTCAGGAACATTGGAGTCCTGGGTGTTTTCTAGTAATGCTGCACTAGGCTGGAGTCCCTGTTCTGTAGTCCCTGTTCCTTCCAACCAGGGATGTCCTCTTTTTCCACCTCCTCCCCTGCATACCCCTGGACACTGACTTGAACATTCTCCCAGGCTCTGCTGTCTGTATCCCTCATATCTCGCAGAGGAAAAGGAAGCCCTGCACATTCTACCCTGGTGATCACAGAGATGACCCATTGATGCTGGAGGAGACACTGAGTTGGGGCAGAGCAGGGCCTGCGAAGTGGGGGCACCCAGAGAAAGTGCTGAATGCTCACAGAACCAACCGGCCTGAGCACAGAGAGCATCTCTGGCCTTCTCGTGTCTGCACAGCAGCCACGGAGCTCCAGGACCAGCTCGGGCTTCCCTGCAGAGCTCTGACCCTTCCCCCTGCCAGGCAGGGCCAGTCTCTTCCCGTGTGGCACCCTGTGAAAGCCCCTGATCTCCCTCATCCATGGCACTGTCTTCTCTCCTGCACCTGTTGTCATCAGGAGGCCATGGCTGCTCCTCCCTCAAGGGCCCCTTGCCCAGAGTTAGTACCTGCATCACTCCTGCCAGTTCACGTTCCCAAACACCCACACTGGGCCATGGTCAGGAGGCGGCCACATACCCCTGTGCCTGGGGTGTACCCTTGAACTTACCCAGTTCTGCTGCCACCAGCCCGGCATGCTTCGTTCTCCCCCATGTTTACACCAGAGAGAATTTTCTGGAAGGGGAGGACAGCCGGTCATCCCAGCACCACTGCCAGGTAGTCATTACCATTCCAGTCTGCTTCTTGGGGCCCAAGAATCCCGCTGTAGTAATTCCCTTCCATTATGAGAGGCACTGCTAACATGCTGACTTACAGCAAGTAAACCTTCAGAAAACAAAACTTCATCCGCCAATTTCTGTTCACTTGACTAGGCACTCCAGAACAGCACAAATTAGTTGGCCTGAAATGCTCAAAGGCTTTTAAGAAAAACATTGCCAGGCACAGTGGCACATGCTTATAATCCCAGCACCCTGTGAGGCTGAGGTGGGAAGTGGCAAGTTCAAGCCCAGCCTGGACAACTTAGCAAGACCCCATGTCAGAATAAAAACATAAAAGTGCTGGGGATGTAGCTCAGTGTGAAGGCTATGGATTCAATTACCAGTGCTGCAGAGACAGAGAGAGAGAGGCTGATGTATTTGTGGTTTTATGAGTGAATTTGTGGGTCTGAGGTTGGCTCTGTCTTCTACTGGTTGTGTGACCAGGAGCAAATTGTTTAACCACTCTGAGCTCCAGTACTGAGGCATCATGGTATAGTGGGGTTACCTGTGAGCCAGAATGAGGAGCCTTAGCTTCTCATCCCAGTGATGCACTAAATCTGCCCTACCCACAGTGTGAGTACCCGGAATGTTCCTGGCCTGGGGTCGGCGACCAGTCAAGGTTTAGTGAAAGAATGAACAGGCCTTGACATGACTGGCCTCACCTGTACAATGATGAGATAGGTAGAGTGATGGTCTTCCAATCTCCTCCAGTCCAAATATATAATATTTAAATCCCTTTAACCTTAGGAGAAAAGGTAGCATTAGGAGCCTATTCACTGAGATTGATTTCCAAACATCCACGTTATAAACCAGTAAAAATAATGCAGAAATCAAGACTCTAGTCTGCAGGAGGTAGAACCCTGATGCACATAAGCTCAAGCCAAAATAATCATTTCTTAGCTCCTTGCAGTAGTTCATTTTCTGCTATAACAAAATGCTGGCGCTGGGTGATGAGTTGGACAAGAGTTTGTTTAGCTCACAGTTCGGCAGGCTCAAGGACATTAGCACTGGCTCAGCTCCCAGGAGGGGCTCATGGCAAGTGATGTCACCATAGCAGGAGGACAGGCAAACAGGAGATGTCTCAAGGCGAGATAGGAAGTCAGGGGCTGACATGGGGCAGGGTTGCTCTTTACAACCCTCTCTGATAGCTAACAGGGCTCACAGGAGGTACCTTGACCTCTTTCAAGGGCCTCCTATTAAAACTCCCCTTTCTCATCACCACCCTGGGGACCAACTTCCAATGTGTGAAACTTTGGGGAGTACACTGCAGCCATATCCAAAGCATAGCACTTCTGCAACAGCCTAGATACAGCGGGCTATTTGTTATCACTGAAAGCTCTGAAAGGTTCACCATCCCCTGGTACAGCTCCAGGCCTGGCAGGATCCAGTACCTCAACAAGCTGCTGCCAAGCTGCCCCTTGGTTCCACTTCCCTCTCAGTTGGGTGGCTGTCCTGCACCCAGGAGCAAAAAGCTCTCTTTCTGCACTGTCTACAGCAGAAATCCACTGGAGAATTTAGTTGCTACAGCTTGACTAATTTAGCTGCTTTCCCATTGCGAAACCAGTTGCTGTGGACAGTAACCTAACATTCTCAAAGCCAGGGACCGATGTCAGCCCTGCCTGGACCAAATGCACGAAAATGCAAATGTGGGAGCAATGCAAAGACAATCCTTGACTGGTCACCCTTGTGTTGTTGCCTTCTGAGGTCTTTGCCTTAGCAAAGTCCATTGTCGTATCCCTCCAGGTCAGTGGGCACCTTCTGGCTGGCCGAACTGAAGTTTCATTTTTCTTTAACACTGAGATTTGCAAGAAGTAGCCCCGAATTTTATTTGTTCTAAATGTGCAGTTCAGACAGGGTCTGATACCCTCTGGGGTTTAACCGGCTTTGCTCTGGGGATTCTGAAGCCTAGTCTCCACACTCATTCCAACAGGTCCAGTGTTCTCAACTGGTTCTGAAGAACTCCTCCCGTGTTGGGGAAAACATGTGTGATTACACTGCTGGTAAACTCTTTTCCCTCTCTTGTCGCTTTTTTTAAATTCTGGAGAGTGTAGCTGCATTTCTAGACCTGTCACATCTCTGTCTCTCACTCTGAAACCTGATGGATACACAGTTTTTCTTCTGAATTTTTATGGTTCATCTTTTACCATTAAAGTCTTTAATCCAGCTGTAATTTATTTTGGCACTTGGTATAAAATGAGCCTCTAAATAGATTATTTCCAGAGACATTTTCCTGAAAATAGCATCCACTGGTTCATTCTTTGTGGTGTGTCTCAATTGTGTTTTAATCTTAATACACAGTCTAGTCTGTTCAAGGGCTTGCTCATTTCTAGAGAT